AAACCGGGAAGTCGAAAAATCGATTGATTAAGAGATCAAAACATTTGAAAAATTCGAAAACTTGAAAAACTGAAATATCGAAGAACTGAAATGAAAAATCAAGAAATCGAAAAATGTAAAATTTTAAATATTGAAAAATTAAAACATTAAAAACTGAAAAATCTAAAATTTAAAAATCGAAAAATTGAAAAAACGACAATTGAAAAACAGAAAATCTAAAACCGGGAAGTCGAAAAATCGAAAGATTAAGAAATCGAAACACTTGACAAATTGAAATATGGAAGAGCTTAAATGAAAAATTGAGAAATCGAAAAATTAAAAATTTTAAATATTGAAATATTAAAATACCAAAAAACTGAGAAATCTAAAATTTAAAAATCGAAAAAGTAAAAAATCGACACATCGAAAAATCCAGAAGTCAAAAATGGAAAAGTCGAAGAACCAAATATTGAAAAATCCCAAAACTAAAAAATCGAAAAACTGAAAAATGAAAGAAAAACTGAAAAATGGAAAAGCTGAAAAATCCGAAAACTGAAATATCCAAAAACTGAGAACCTAAAAAGTCAAAAAATTGAGCAATAGAAAAATCCAAAAAGTTAAGTCGAAAAATTGAAACCTTAAATAAATTAAAAAATAAAAAATCAAAAACCTGAAAAATCGGAAAATTAAAGAATTGAAGAACAGGAATATCGAAACCCTCGAAAATAAAGAAATGGGAAAACCAAAACATCGATTAATTGAAAAACTGAAAAATTGACAGTTTATAAACGTCAAATTTGAAAAATTGAAAAATCGAAAATTTGAAAAAACGACAATTGAAAAACAGAAAATCTAAAACCGGGAAATCGAAAAATCGATTGATTAAGAAATCAAAACATTTGAAAAATTCGAAAATTTGAAAAACTGAAATATCGAAGAACTGAAATGAAAAATCGAGAAATCGAAAAATCTAAAATTTTGAATAGTGAAAAATTAAAATATCAAAAAAAAATCTAAAACTTAAAAATCGAAAAATTGAAAAAACGACAATTTAAAACAGAAAATCTAAAACCGGGAAGTGGAAAAATCGAAAGATTAAGCAAACGAAAAATTGAAAAATTGATAAAGTAAAAAAATCGACACATCGAAAACTCCAGAAGCCAAAAATCGAAAAGTCGAAGAATCAAAATACTGAAAAATCCCAAAACTAAAAAATCGAAAAACAGAAAAATGAAAGAAAAACTGGAAAATCCGAATACTGAAATATCCAAAAACTGAGAACCTAAAAAGTCAAAAAATTGAGCAATAGAAAAATCCAAAAAGTGAAGTCGAAAAATTGAAACTTTAAAAAAATTAAAAAATAAAAAATCTAAAACCTGAAAATCGAAAAATTAAAGAATTGAAGAACAGGAATATCGAATCCTCGAAAGTGAAGAAATGGGAAAATCAAAACATCGATTAATTGAAAAATCGAAAATTTTACACTTTATAAAATAATGTCAAATTTAAAAAATTGAAAAATCGAAAATTTGAAAAGCCACAATTGAAAAACAGAAAATCTAAAACCGGGAAGCCGAAAAATCGATTGATTAAGTAATCAAAACATTTGAAAAATTCGAAAATTTGAAAAACTGAAATATCGAAGAACTGAAATGAAAAATCGAGAAATCGAAAAATCCAGGAGTCAAAATCGAAAAGTCGAAGAATCGAAATATTGAAAAATCCCAAAACTGAAATATCGAAAAACTAAACAATGAAAGAAAAACTAAAAATGGGAAACTAAATCGTGAAATCAAAACATTGAATAATCGAAAAATTTAAAACAATTTAAAACAGAAAATCTAGAACTGGGAAGTCGAAAAATCGAAAGATTGAAAAATTGAAAAATCGAAAAAGTAAAAAAAATCGACACATCGAAAACTCCAGAAGCCAACAATCGAAAAGTCGAAGGATCAAAATATTGAAAAATCCCAAAACTGAGAAATCGAAAAACTGAAAAATGAAATAAAAACTGACGAATAGAAAAACCGAGAAATTAAAAAATTGAAAAATTGAGAGATTGAAAATTCAAAAAAGTAAAGTTGAAAAATCGAAACCTGAAAAAATAGAAAAATTGAAAAACCAAAAAACCTGAAAAATCAATTAATTGAAAAATCTTCACATAAAGAGTTTATAAAAGTCAAAAATTGAAAAATCGAAAAACTGAAAAATGAAAGAAAAACTGAAAAATGGAAAACCTGAAAAATCCGAAAACTGAAATATCCAAAAACTGAGAACCTAAAAAGTCAAAAAATTGAGCAATAGAAAAATCCATAAAGTGAAGTCCAAAAATTGAAACCTTAAAAAAATAAAAGAATAAAAAAGCAAAAACCTGAAAAATCGAAAAATTAAAGAAATGGGAAAATCAAAACATCGATTAATTAAAAAATCGAAAAATTGACAGTTTATACATGTCAAATTTGAAAAATTGAAAAATCGAAACTTTGAAAAAACGGCAATTGGAAAACAAAAAATCTAAAACCGAGAAGTCGAAAAATCGATCGATTAAGAAATCAAAACATTTGAAAAAATCTAAAACTTGAAAAACTGAAATATCGAAGAACTGAAATGAAAAATTGACAAATCGAAAAATCTAAAATTTTAAATATTGAAAAATTAAAATATCAAAAAACTGAAAAATCTAAAAAATGAAAGAAAAACTGACGAATTTAAATTTGAAATTGGAAAATCAAATGCTTTGACATCTTGTACACATTTTTGTAGATTACTGGAAGTATGGTACAGAAATTGATGATGTCATCTTTTAGTTTTGAAAAGTAGCGTAGTTCTGAACTTGTGGCTTATGAATTTGTGTTGAATTTTGATCCTAGACATTGATAATTTTAGAAAAAATTCAAAATTTTAGATACAACAATTTTTCGATTTCTTAATTTTTTTAATTTTTCATTTCTATATTTTTCGGCTTTCGATTTATCAATTTTTTTATATTTCAGTTTTGAGATATTTTCAGCTTTTTTGTTTTTCCATTTTACAATAATTTCAATTTTTCAATTTCTCGCATTTGATTTTTCAGTTACTAATTTCCCGATTCTTCAATTTTCCGACGTTTTGTTTTACGATTTTTCAATTTTTCTACTCTTTAATTTTTTATTTTTAATTTCTGACGTTTCAAAGTTTTCGATTTTTCGATTCTTCAATATTTTATTTTTTAAATATTTAAAGATTTTTCGATTTCTCGATTTTATATTTTCCAATATTTCCCCGTTTTTCAATTTTTCGAAGATTAAATTTTTGGTCTTTTCAGTTTTTTGATTTTTTAATTTTTCGATTTTTTGATATTTCTACTTTTCAATTTTTTAGTTTTTAAATTTCGGAATTTTTAGGTTTTTGATGTTTCCATATCTGGATCTTTCGATTTTTTAATTGTAGGTTTTACATTTTTTCAATTTTTCAATTTTTTCAATTTTTGGTTTTTCGATTTTAAAATTTTTCGATTTTTCTTTTTTTCAATTTGTCAATTTGTCTATTTCTCTGTTTATTGAGATTTCTGTGTTTCGATCTTTCAATTGTTCAACTTCTCGTTTTTTCGGTTTTAACATTTTAAATTTCGATTTTTCGACTTCAGGCTCTTTCGATTTTGTTGACTTCTCGTTTTTTCTTTCGATTTTTCGACCTTTTGATGTTTAGGTTACTCGATGTTTCAATTTTATTAATTTTTCGATGATTCGATTTCTCAGGTTTTCGATTTTTAGACTTTTCAAATTTTCGATTTTCCAATTTTTCGACGTTTCGATTTTTCAGTTTTTATCTTGCCAATTTCTCGTCATATCTGTTAGAAAATTTTCAATTTTTTGATTTTCAGTTTTGCGACTATTCAATTTTCCGATTTTTAAAATTAAGGATATTTGTATTTCTCGATTTACGATTTCCCAGTTTTTCAATTGTCGACTTTTCAGGTTTTTGATTTTTCAGTTTTTCGATTTTTAAATTTTAGATTTTTTAATTTTTCAATTCTTCAATATTTTAATTTTTTAAATATTTAAATATTTTTCTATTTCTGGATTTTTTAGTTTTTCAATATTTCTCCATTTTTCAATTTTTCGAAGATTAAAATTTTTGACTTTTCCGTTTTTTGATTTTTTAATTTTTCGGTTTTTCGATTATTCAATTTGCCCATTTCTCTGTTTATTGAGATTTTTGTCGCCCGATCTTTCACTTGTTCAATTTCTCGTTTTTTCGATTATAACATTTTAAATTTCGATTTTTCGATTTTGGGCTATTTAGATTTTTTGACTTCTCGACTGTTGTTTTGATTTCTTGATCTCCTGATGTTTCAGTTTTTCAATTTTCGATGATTCGATTTCTCAGCTCTTTGATTTTTAGACTTCAACTTTTCGATTTTCCAATTTTTCGATATTTCGATTTTCAGTTTTCCACTGGCCAATTTCTCGTCACCTCTGCTTTGGAATTGTTCAATTTCTTCATTTTTCAGTTTGGCAATTCCTCAATTTTCCTATTTTTAAAATTTTAAATATTCCGATTTCTAATTTTCAATTTTTCGACTTTTCCGGATTTTTGATTTTTCAATTGTTCGATTTTTTAAATTTTACATTCTTCTACTTTTAAATTTTTCGATTTTACGATTTTTTGATGTTTCGATTTCTTTACATCTCAGTTTTTCCATTTTTAAAATTTTTCAACTTTTCAATTTTGGGAAACTGTAAATTTTTCCATATTTTAATTTTTTTTGTTCTAAAATTTTCGATTTTTCACTTTTTTGATGTTTGACGGCTCGATCTTTCAATTTTTCGGACTAGGAAAGAGAACAAAAAATAAAGATATAATACAGGTGTTATATTTGAAAAAATGAAAATAACGCTTCTCTATGTTCTCTGGTGTTATTTACCCTTTTAGAGCGAGGCAAGTAAAACTTTCTTCATAACTTAAAATAAAAAAAAAATAACCCAATACATAAAAATAATCTTTATTAATGAATTTTATTACAGAAATAATTTAACAAATCAAGGCAATCCGTACTCCGTAGCTGGAACTCTCACACTTGGTACTCCATACGTCTCACTTGGCTTCTCCGGTACTCCATACACAACAGCTGGTACTCTAACTTTAGGCAACTCGTAGCTTTTCGTCGGTACTCCATATTCCATAGACGGTACTACAGTCCTAGCAGTGGGAACTCCATAAACAATAGCAGGTTTCTGTGGCTTAGCTACTTCAATCACCTCAGCATCATCGTCATCACCACCATCTAACTCGAAATCCAGAGTACGGACCGCTGGTACTACATAACTGATGACAGTTTTCTTCGGCACGGCGACTCGTTGCACTGGTACTCCGTACGAAGTAGACGGAATTCGTACCTGTGGTACTCCGTAAGTTTCACTTGGTTTTGCTGGAGCAGTTTTTTGAACTACATCGGTCACATCGAAATCGAAGGTTTTGGTTGGTACGCCATAAAGGATAGATGGAACTCTGACTTGTGGTAGTCCGTAGGTTTCTTCAGGTGTTCTGGGGCGTGCGGTAGTCAGTTCTCGGACTGTTGGTTTAAATGGTACTCCGTACTCGGTGGCGGGTTTTGGCGGTACTACGGTTTTGGCAGCGGGGATTACTACTGTGTCGTAGTTGGCGCTGGGGTATAAGGCGGAGCAGACTCCGATGGAGAAAATTAAGAAAAATCTGATCTAAAACAAAAAAATTATGCGATTATTAAATAAGTGAGGAATGATTGAAACTTACAACTGATTCCATGGTGGTTGAAGTGGTAGCTGATGTGTGACTGACGAAATCGTGGAAGAATAATTTGCTTTTATATGCTAACATAGTGCCCTTTCATTTTTTATGAGTAAGTTGTGAAAGGTGTTTAAGTCATTGAAGACATGGCGATCGTAAATAGTTTTCATGCTTGAATTTATTTAGAGATGTTATCTGTTACTCGTAATGTGTTGGCAATTATTGTTTTCTAATGACCATACACAAATATTATATTATATTTGCGAAGGTAAACCGAAATTATTTTACTACAATGTTAAAAAAATGTCGCTTGAGTAAACAGTATGTGGAAAATATTTTAAAATTAAGTCAATTTAAAACGTCAAAAATGCGTTACATACAACATTTTTTTTAATGAAATTTTATACTTTTAGAAACAAAATGAATGTTGATCTCTATCAAATTAAGCAAACTGATGTCTCATTAAACTGTTTTTACAAATAAAATTTGTAATGAATTAAATCTTTGATAAAATATTAAATAAAATAGATTTAAAACCGTTCTCTGTCCTTAAAGTACGTATTAAGGTATTTCACTTTAAAAATGTTGATACAAAGTTACTCCTGATGCATTGTCAATCGTTAAACAAGTGTAATTTCTTTGATGAATTATAAAATTATGAATGGATTAATAAACCACAGCTAGAGACACATATTGTGTCACAATTTTAAACAGGATCTATTTTACGATCTTTTTAAACAAATTTTAATTAGGTTGCTAAATTTCATAACAGCTAGTCTAATAGTCTCTAAAATCATTCAAATACTATACTGTTATATTATAGACTGAATTGAAATTGTCTTCTCATTTATAACAAAAATTCGAAATAAATACAGATAATAAAAGAGATAAAGACGAGATCCTCTTGGAGTTTCAGTAGATCTTGAAAGAAGTACTCTTCAGTTAATAATACACTAGTGGAATAACAGTGTTCTTACTCATGCAGAACCCATACTGGAATCATCAGAGATCATAATGGCAAAATCAAAGTTTTTTCATGAACTGATACTCAGATAATAAAGAGTGAATGAACTTATTAAAACAAAAACAAAAAAATAAAGGAAATTTGAAAAAAGGTGGACTGAAAAGCCAAGTATAAATAACTTACTTAAAAGTTTTAACGAAATTACTTCCAATGAAGTTCAGCAACTTTCCCTTTTGTAAAAGCTGGAAAAATTTTAGTCAGCTAGTAGGAGATAGAAGTACAGTCTAAAACAGTTTGCAAAAAAAGGTTAGTAACATAATATTTAAAGCTCATTACTTGTTAACTGTTCCCCGTAGATTAAACTTACATACTCATATGACTTTTCTATCGTTCCAAGTAATCAATATTTGTGATAAAGAAAATTTAATTTGTTGTTATTTTAAAGTGTGTAATTAATTCATGTTTATCAAATGTTGTATTAATAAGTGCTTTACATTATAAACAATGAATAGTAATTCTGATACGAATAAAATTCCTTGTCATGCTATTAAAAACCGCAATTCAAGAGAACATACATTTTTAAAAGTCATCTCTTGCCGTAACAAACAAAACCTCATTGATAAAAATTTGCCTTTTCACTACAACATGTAACCAAGTATCAATGTAATCTTTATTATTGTTTATTAGTATGACAATCATGAATATTACATTATATATAAATAAAGCTATTGTCAAATGTAATATCATTGATTATATTAGTGTCTCTGGTGTACTTCTTAGTAATTAAACGAAAATGTTACAGTTAAGTGTATCAAGTTCAACAGTGTTGGAGCTCTTGTGTACATTCATCACAATCTCTGTGTTAACATGGTACATCTACTACCTCTACTGCTTCAACTACTGGAAGAAGAAGAGAGTTCCAACCATCGCCCCTCGATTTCCAGCTGGTAACATCCTGAAACCAATCATAGGCAAAGAAAACCTTTTTGACGCGATTGCTGACTACTACAAAGACTTTAAAAGCCAAGGACACAAACACGCTGGCTTGTACTTTTTCAATGGTCCCATATACTTCCCCATCGACCCCGAAATAATAAAAAACATCTTAACCACCGACTTTGACCATTTCATGGACCGAGGGATATACTTCGACGAAGAAAAATTCCCTCTTAGTGGCCACTTATTCTCAATCGAAGGCTCAAAATGGCGAAATCTGCGTACCAAACTATCTCCAACTTTCACATCCGGAAAACTGAAAACCATGTACGAAATTTTCGTCAAAATGACCGAAAATTTCGTACGCACCATTGAACCAACAGCTCAGAAAGGTGGCGAAGTTAATATTAAATACGTGTCGGCAAATTTTACAGCTGATTTGATCTTATCAACCGCCTTTGGTTTAGAGGGTAACACCTTAAAGAATCCTGATAATGAACTAGCAAAAATTATAACGAAGCTGTTCGATGTTCCGACGTGGGACTTTGTTAAAACTGTCATCGTTGAAGGATTTCAGAATCCTGGTAACATAGTGAGGGGGCTTTTGAACAACAGATCAAACGAATACTTTTTCACTGAAATCCTCAAAAACGCGGTTAAGCAGAGGGATGAAAGTAATATCACCAGGAAAGACTTTTTGTCATTACTGCTTGAAGTTCGGGACAGGGAAGGACTGAATTTTAACGAAATCCTCGCTCAGTGTTTCTTGTTCTTTTTGGCTGGATTTGAAACGTCTTCACAAACCATTAGTTACTGCATCCATAACTTGGCTCACAACCAGGAAATACAAGAGAGGCTTCGTAGCGAAATTTTTGACAATTTGGGAAAAGATTACACAAAGTACTCTTACGAAGACATTTTCAATTTACCGTATCTGGACCAAGTTTTCAACGGTAAGTCACTCAATTTAACAAAAGAAGTCGTTTATTGATTATTTTTCTTTGCAGAGACTTTACGTTTGCACCCTGTTTTGGGTTTCCTTAATCGAATTTGCGTAAAGAACTACACAGTTCCTGGAACCAACGTCGTCATCGAGGAAGGGACACCGGTTTTAATTCCAGTTTTGGGACTGCAACGAGATCCTGAGTACTTTCCTGATCCTTTAAAGTTTGATCCTGAAAGATTCGGTAAGGATCAGTCGCAAGTACCTTTTACTTTTATGCCTTTTGGTGACGGTCCTAGATTTTGTATTGGTGAGTTATTAGAGAAATCGTTGACACAATTATAGCAATATTTTGTAGGGATGCGATATGGCAAACTTCAGGTCAAGTTAGGACTTGCTGCTTTGTTATCACAGTTCAAGTTTCTTCCCAGTCCAAATACTCCAAAGACTATCCAGCTGGATAAATATTCCAAATCACTTGTCATGACACCTTTGAAGGGGATCACAGTTAAGGTGGAAAAGTTGCAAGGTACAGTGAGATCTACAGGTTAACAACTATTCAATTTTTAATAGTTGTTTGGTTTCTTTTAATATTCCAACCACAAATTCAGTATTCTATAAGGATCTAATATTTGGTGTATCGTTTATTTGTTTGTTTTTTTTTTTGTAAACTATTTAAAATAAATAAAGTTTTATAACAAGCTCTCTCGTTATTATACAAAAAGGCGTTTCTCAAAAAAAAATGTATTTGATTAGCATACAAGATATATATAGGCACATATAAGATATAGGTTAAAAAACTTGACTTTATTTGTATCGTGATTACGATCTACAATTTTTCAACTCTGACAGTCACCCCTTTGGCAGGCACCGGAGCCAGACTTTTCGAAAATTTATCAAGTTCAATATGTTTAGGTGTGCTTGGACTCGGGAAGAACTTGAACTGGGATATTAAGGCAGCAATACCTAATTTAGTTTGAAGCTTCCCATATCTCATACCTACAACGACAGAACAAATAATTAAGAAAATAAATTATTTCCAACTATGTATCATTTACCAATACAAAATCTAGGTCCATCTCCAAAGGGCAGGAAAGTAAACGGTACTTGCTTTTGATTTTCATTAAACCTTTCCGGATCAAACTCCAAAGGATCAGGAAAATATTCAGGATCGTGCTGAAGTCCTAACACTGGAATCAACACAGGCGTCCCTTTATCAATAACAACATTCGTCCCCTGAACTTGGAATGGTTTGACACAAATTCTGTTGAAAAATCCGAGCACAGGGTACAATCGCAAGGTTTCTACAACAAATATGCTAAAAGACGTTATTAAACATATTTACGTTCTCACCATTGAAAACTTTGTCCAAATACGGAAGTCTGAAAATGTCTTCGTATTTATATGTCCGAACATCTGGTCCTAGCTCATCAAAAATTTCCTTTCTTAGTTTGTCTTGTAGATCTTGATTATGGGCCAATTCATGAATGCAGTAACTGATTGTTTGCGAAGAGGTTTCAAAACCAGCCAACAAGAAAAGGAAACATTGTGCCAAAATTTCATCCGAAGTTAAACCTTCATTATCTCTGACTTCCAAAAGTAAAGATAAAAAGTCTTTTCGCTTAATCTTATTTTCATCTCTGCGTTTAATTGTGTCTTTCACAATACCGTCAAACAAATTTTCCTTGGTGTGATGCTCCAAAAACGCTTTAACAATGTTTCCGGGATTTTGAAACCCTTCAATAATCACAGTTTTGATAAAGGTCCACGCTGGAATATTAAACAAATTGAGCACGATGTGACCAAGTTTGCTTGTAGGATCTTCCAAAATATTACTTTCCAAACCGAAGGCTGTTGAAAAAATAATATCCGCAGTGAATCTTGAAGAGAGATATTTTATGTTGATTTCGCCACCCTTCTGCGCTATCGGTTCAACAGTTTCCATGAAGTTTTCAGTCACCTTTAAAAAAATTGCGTACATGGTTTTCAGTTTTCCAGAAGTGAAGGTTGGAGATAATTTGTTTCGAAGATGTTTCCATCTTAAACCTTCTAGACTGAATAGGTTTCCGCTTAGAGGGAATCTTTCTTCATCGACGAACGTGCCCCTGTCCACGAAACACTCAAAATCGGTAGTTAATATAGACTTAACTATTTCTGGATCAATGGGAAAGTAAATGGGGCCGTTGAAAAAATATAATCCTGCGTGTCTGTATCCCCTTTTTCTAAATTCCTCGTAGTATTTGGCTACTGTTACGTACAGATTTTCTTGACCTAGTACCGGTTTTAGAATGTTACCTGCTGGAAAATTCGGAGGACTAGTTGGAACGCCTTTCTTCTTCCAGTAGGTAAAGCAATACAGGTAGTAGAGGTACCATGTTAATAGAACTACTGTTATGAATATGCACAGAATTTCTGTTACTGGTGAATTCGACAGAGTTGGCACGATCATGGTAGTTTTATAAGTAGTTATTTTTCACTAGTCATCTGCTTGTAGATGATTACGAATTGAACTATATTTGATGAAGATAATGTACGAGTAGTTTATTTTCAGTACCAAATATTTTCGTTATCGCTTAATATAGGTATTTTAATTTTATCTTTATCTTATCTTATTGTATTATGTTGTCGTTCAAGACTAACTTTTAAGTTTCAACTTTCAACTACAATGTACTGAACAATTGTTATTTTTATAATAATCGTCGTTATTGATTCTAGTACCACCTACTTACATAGTTCTAATTCTTAAAAAAAGTTGGCTGAGTAAATTAAAAGTTTGGCACATGTTATTTTGATTTAGTTATTAGTTTGTTTTATAATAATAGTTTCAAAAATAATCCCGTTACTAGGATAAAATTTGTAGTGGGCGACACCGATAATATAATTGACACAACTTTAATTTTTTTAATTACAAATTACTATATTTTAAAACAGTACAAAGAAGAAACAAATGCAATAACAAAAAACAATTCATTCATTCAAATTCTTGCATCTTTAGGAACGATAATTGTCTAGTAAACAATTTAAAATAAGTAAATGTTTATATAAACCATGAGTCAGGAAATTTTTTGTTTATCATTATATCAAAGTTTCTGATTGTTGTACTTAAGTATTATTTTATCTGATATAAATGAAAATTATTATCTCTTAAATTAACATCCTCGTGGAACTGAGAAATGGGGGTTCTTCAATATTTTCTTACAGGTTTAGTTCATACTTGAAGCTTGAATCCGAACATTTATTCTTGACAGAGTTGCTTTAGAGCGCAATGTTTCCGAGACCAGCTTTTATTTTTGTATGATGTGAGATTTCGGTCCACGAAGTAATCTGTGAATGCATTTTGATTTAATCAATAACTTAATAGCTGGCTAGTTTGCGAAGATCGGGTAATGTGTATAATATGCGGCAGGTCTTTCTAGCATATGTAGTGTCTGCTTCAGTTCGCTTCTTTTATTCACAGAAACTCCAAAAAAAAGAGGTTAAACACACGGACGCAAATGACTTTTTTTCGTTGTTGGAAGAATGAACAATATTTGATTTTTAAATTCTTAGAGGCTACGAAAAGAATCTTTCCTCCTTGCCAGTTCTGGACTATTCCTAAAAGTTATATTTTGCAAAAATTGTTGAGCTAGATCCAAACTCTGAACATCGTTCAAGATTAAACCGACTGTTTTGGGCATGCACTACCAATTTTATAGTAAATTACGTATTCCTTTCAATTTTTCCTTAGACCAATTTTCCAAAAACAGCGACAATGAGACCTGGAAAAGAAAATTACTGTCAGAATCGTGAAACTGTAAAAATAAAATACAAATAAATGTTTCCTCTCTTATAGGGCCTTTATTAATTAAATGTCAAAGTTCTAGTTAAATAAATTTATTTCCTTATGAAGTAAAAACTAAAACTGTTTACAAAAAAATTGGTCTAAAGAGTTTAGACAGTCCTTCCCTCGGTGTCGGAAACGTGTATAATATGTTGCCTATGCAAAAATTGTCAGGGGTGAACAGATAAAATGAACATCCTGAATAGTACTTGTAAATTTAAGACAAATGGCCATAACACTGATATCAACCTGTAGACGTGACGGTGAAACACAAACTAAACTAAAACATGGTTTCTACGAATTGTAATAACCGGATGACAATGCCGACGGTTCAGATATTTTTATTGCTCTGACTTCCGTATATTGAATAAGACACTACACTGTTTTGTCTACTGGGTTGCTTATATAAACTATTTTTCCCGAACGTGTGAGGTCGCCGATAAAGAAATGACACGGTCAGTAGCGTAACTGAATATTTACGCGCCCTCCGGAAAATTAACAGACAGACGGAAGCGGCAGACCTATTTCTTCGTACTCTAGGGGACATAAAAGGTCGAGAAAATGTAAAAGTCGAGAGTCGGCCCACGGACTCGATTACAATACTTCCCTTGTCCTTCGCTCAGGAAATAAAAAAATGTTAATGTTTTTAGACATCGGAAGGTCACCTAGACATTTGTATGATTTGAATCTGTTTATCGCCTCAAAACAGAAGACTAAAATTATTCATTAACCTCATTTGAACAAAATTTTCTGAATATTATTACATATTATAATTCTTACCTTATCTTTATTTTATTGTCATAAAGACGAACGTATTGTCACATTTTCGAGAAAATGGGATGGCTCGTTCTTAATTTGCTCAATAATAAATTGACTGGGGTACGGTCCTGACTACGATAAGCAAAACACGCTCCGAAATCCAAACTCGAAAATCGAGAGATATCGAGCGTCAAAAGCGAAAGAGAAGTTTAGTAGAAAACAAAGAAGTGAAGTGGAATAAGAGTAAGAAACACCAAGAAGTGTAAGGACAGCAATTATTAGGCAAAGTGTGGAATCAAAACAACCTAACCTCCGAAGAGATAGTCTGGGTGACAGTTCAGGAACGTACTAGACACACAGGAAGCAAGAAAGTCGGCCAGGGAATGCTAAACGGGAATCCTGAACCGGAAAAAGGACACAAACTAGCAATAGAAGAACAAGACAACCAGAAACGAAAAAGAGAAACCTCCTTTTCACCATCACCGGAAGGTCAAAGAGTACAGAGGAAGCAGAAGAGGGTACAAGCAGGAGACATGGACGAAGTAAAGAATATGTTCAAAACGTTAATGGAGGAAATCGCAGAAATGAAAACAGACCAAAGAGCATACCAAACAGAAGTAACAACACTAAGAGAAGAAAACCAAAGACTGACCGAAAGATTAGAAAGAGTGGAGCAACACTTAGAAAAACTGGAAAAAGCAGAAAGGAGAAACAACATCGTAATCAAAGGAGGGAAAGTACAAGGAAGCGAAATAACAGCAGAGGTTGAAGAACTCCTAAAAAATAAGGTAGGAATCCAAACTAAGATACAAGACGCAAGATTAGTCAGCGAAAAATACGACATAGTAGTAGCAAAGATAGAGAACTGGGACACAAAAAGAGCAATCATGAAACAGAAGAACAAATTAAAAGGATCAAAAACGTTTATTGAAGACGATTACGCCAAACAAGAGAGCGAGATACAGAAGAAAATAAGAGGAATAGCAGCAGCAGAAAAAGGGAAAGGAGTCGAGGCAAAAGTAGGGTACAAAAAGATGATATGCGCAGGAGAAGTCTGGCATTGGGATACTAAATTAGACAAATTAGTGAAAGCATCTTCGCACCCCAAAGCAAATCCAAAAAACTAACAGAGGAAGAAACCACACACCGGAAAACAATGACGACGTATGCAAAGCTCATGGATGACCCGATATGAATTACGAAGAGAAAGAAAAACCCGAAAATTAGAATAGGAACATGGAATGTTTGAGGAACATATAGCGAAGGAAAACTCAAACAAATAGATCAAGAATTACAAAGGTATAATATAGATGTAGCAGCTATACAAGAGACGAAACAAAAAGGCAAATTCATCACTGAAATAGACAACTACATATTATTTAATAGCGGAATTGACAACAGAGAACTAGGAACAGGATTCATGGTGAAGAAGAGCCTGAAAGGAGCAGTAAATACCTTCAAACCAATCTCAGAAAGAATGAGCTATATAAGATTGAGAAGTAAGTACAGGAAAATAAGCCTAGTGAATATACATGCACCGACTGAAGATAAAGATCTAGAAGTAAAAACAGAATATTACGAAGAACTAGAAAGAGAATATGTGAAAATACCAAAGCATGACATTAAAATGGTTATAGGAGACGCCAACGCAATGATAGGTAAAGAGAATTGCTACAGGCCAACAATCGGGAAAGAAAGCAAACACCCAAAAACGAATCAAAATGGAGAAAAACTGATAAAGTTTGCAGAAGAAAATAAAATGGTAGTCAAAAGCACCTTCTTTGCGCAGAAAGAGATCTACAAAGGCACATGGATGTCACCTGACGGAAAAACGGTCAACCAAATAGACCACATACTGGTAGAAAGGAGAGATGCCCAACTAATAACCAGATCAAGAAGCCACAGAGGAGCAGAAGCGAATTCAGACCACTTTCTAGTAAGAGCAGACCTCAAACAAGAAATACCGAAGAAAAAAGAAGGGAAGAAGACGCAACGTGATATAAATGTAAACAAACTTAAGAAAGCTGAAGTACAACAGGAATACGAACAAAAGATGAATGAGAGAATAAGATAATAAGATCAACAGAGCAAGACATACCTATAGAAGAGAGGTGGGAAGAACTACAAGAGAACATATGGAAGACCTCGGAAGAAGTACTAGGGTTCGTCAAAAAAGACCACAAAAATAGAAACGAATGGTTTGACGAGGAATGTAGAAAAGCAATAGAAGTGGGGAGGTCAGCCAGACAGAAATATCTAAAATCAAAAAATGAGAAGAACCAAAAAGATTACCAAGAAAAAAGGAAAGAGTACAAGAAGATATGCAGAAATAAGAAACCAGCAAAGATGGAAGAACAAATACGACAAATAGAAGAAAGCTTCAACAAGAATGAAATAAGGAACTTCTACCAGGACGTGAAAAAAGAGAAAAGAGGCTATCAACCACGAGTAATATATTGTAAAGACAAGGACGACAACCTGATAGGAGACGAACAAGCAAGAATAAAACGATGGGCAGAATACTTTGAAGAGCTGCTAAACGGACAGGATACACAGCAAGATACGAACGAAACAGTGAACGACTCGGATGACCCAGATGAAACAATAGAAATTGACGAAGGAGAGATCAGAGAAACACTAAGGCAGATGAAAAACAACAAAAGTCCTGGTAGAAACGGAATAAAGGGCGAGATGCTAAAGTACGGAGGAGAAGCAGTAGCATCAGAGATACATCGACTAGTGCTAGAATGTTGGAAGGAAGGAAAAATGCCAGAACAATGGAATGAAGCAGTACTTTGCCCGATATTTAAAAAAGGAGATATTACGAAATGCGGAGATTATCGCGGAATAGCGCTGCTAGACGTAACGTATAAGGTAATGGCCACTTGCATCAACCGAAGACTAAAGCAGCATATGGAAAAAATAGTAGGAGAATAT